CCCTACCTCAAGATAGCAAACCAAACAAGTCCTTAACAAGCCCTAACTTTGAAATCCTCCAAACCCTAGCAATATGGGTGCCAAATGGAAGCTTTCATCAAGCTCATCAACTTCCTCTCTATGGCATCACCAAAAATACCTTCTAATCTCCCAAAATCCAAGGTTGAAACATATGTGAGATATGTGTGATATAGATATGGAATATAGAGAGAGGAAAATGAAGACAAAAAAGAGGAAAAGGTGATGCCCGAAATGGAAGGGGAGGGGGTAAAAGTTGGTTTTGCATTTGGTCAAGTGGTCTTAATGGTGCCACTTATCAAGCAAAGAAGGGTTTATACTTTTGGTGAAGTTTCAATCTTGCCCTTGCTCATTCAATGTAATGCCTCTTCTATCCTCCAAAATATTGTCCCAACTATGTAGCTATATGAATATGAATATATGAGGGAAATGTCCATAATGCCCCTCACTTAAAATGAGAAAACCAGGAGAAGTTCTCAAGTTTGGAAATCGTCCCGACTTTTAAAAAATTCTAAAAATGATACCGTCACTTCTAATTAACTTAAAATGACCAAAAATACACTTCTAAAACCCTCGGCTCAAAAAAATGACCAAAACGCCCCTCAGGGCCCACATAGCATGCAAAACGAGGCAAGGATTAAAATAATCCAAAAAAATTAAATAAATTCCAGAAAATAGAAAATAAGGAAAATTAGTAACATTACAGGTGAATTGGTTTATAACACTTCTTTCCATAATTTAAGTCCTTTACAACTGACGTGAACCAAATCAGAAAGAACTAACTTTAACAGAGATGACAGTATGACTGAAAACCTAATTCCTTACAACTGTTTGATGAAATTCCTCAGTCATAGAAAGCTAATTCACACATGCAAATTTTTTATAAGGAAAAACCCCTATGTGAGGTTAACAAACCTTGAAGATATAGGAGTTCAACCTTCTTTCACTATGAATGATTGAATGATTACTCTCAAAACTATCTCACACTCAATCTATTAGTCCCATCTTTGATTTAGGATTTGCCCTTTTATATGTCAAAAAGTTGTCACATGTCCATTTTAGTAAGCTTAATTAATTGATTCTTGAGTGTTCAGTGCATTAGAGAGGTTTATAAGTGTAGCATTGTCATTTTACATTCATGAGATATCATTTGAGATAGCTTAAGGAAGCTATCTTGTGTTAACAGTGCTTGTTATAGTCAAATTAGGGTTTACAGGACTGTTCAGAGGTTGATATTTGACTATAGAGTTTTTTAGGGGAAATTAAGTCTTTTCACATTTGCATTCTATCATAATACCCTTGTTTGTGATAGTACATTGTATTGTAATGCTCTTATTCACAGTTTGATCAAGTGTTCATAGTTGTAGCTGTAGAATCCTGTGTATATTGAAAAGTGTCCCTTACAGGGGTATTTTGATAAATACAACTGATGAACATCCTTGTGACACGTGCCTTGTGGTCCTAGTGTGAGAAAATGAAGCTTATTATGCATTTCTTAAGGGTTAAGCTTGATATATATCACTGGTGTATACATATATATAAGCTGTCAATTTGCATGCTCACTAGAGGACAAAATATTGAGCTGTAGTAAGGGCAATGTAGTCCTTTCATTGAGAGAATGTCAGAACATTATCTGGCCAATGATTGGTATGTGATACCATGTGGATTTCCTCATTAGGGTAGGACTACATTCTATTATACCCTATATATATAAATATATATATATATATATATATATATATATTGTTATAGAAAGTAAACCCCTTAAGGCCAAATTTTGAGCATCCTCTGTTAGCATCCTTAAGCTACATTGATAAATAATTCGAGACATTAAGAACAATGACATATATCTAAGTTTTGATAGTATTTTGAGAGCTGAATTCAACTCAAAGATAAACATGGTATGTGTGAATCATTGAAAATGAAGATGAAGGTGGCTTTGAGGTGCCTTATTGCTGATAAAAAGAGGTCCAGAGGTTTAATCCAAGCTTGAGGCCATTTCAAAGGGTTCTAGACGTCGAGACAAGTTTGTTTTACCATTTTACAACTGTAGGACTTGAGGTTATGTTCATATTTTTGCTGTAGTTGATTTTGATGTCTCAAACCTTAACATAAGCCTTGTTTTTCTGGTTTAGTCTTCTGTCATAAGTATATATGCATGTCATCTTGCTGTGAGTTGAAATCTTATCATTTGAGCAAGTTTCTATAGTTGAATCAAAGCTATGGAAGTTGAGAGTTAGACAAAAATATGGTCAAATTGAGATTTGGCTTTTGAAACCCTAGTTTTAGGGTTTTTTTTTTTTGCAGAATTAGCCTTATTGAGCTAAGACTTTGATATACCTTGTTTGAATTATTGAGAATATCATATGAGTATGTGTATAATATTGGTATAAGGTTGAGGGTTCCATGCATAGGGTTGTGATAATACGAAATTCCATTTTTACCCTTCAGAGCACATATTCTACAGAATGTTGGTTTGTTGATGTGATTGATACTTTAAGCTATAATCTCACTCTGTAATAGCTTAAGTATTATTGTAATACATCTTTATATATGTATTTGGTGAGATGTCAAAGCTTATACGGTCCAAGCAGGGTTGTTGTGGATAAGGGGAGTGTAAGTATGCATTGTTGTGAGCTAGGATGTGCGCAGAGTGAGAGACAGCTGAGTGTGTATCTACTTGCATTACAACTAGTGGGGCTTATATTGGCTATGGCTAAGAACCAAGATTTTTGATCTCTAATTGAGAGAGATTTTCCTTGTAAAAATCACTGTGTACTTGTGTATGCTTGTGTAATCCTTAAACAACATTCAAATTGAATTAAGCAATGATGAAAAGTTTGTAGAAGAACCAATTCAACCCCCTATTGGTTCATCAATTGGAATCAGAGCTTTAGTCTGCCTTACAAAGGATTAACTAATATGCATAAAAGATCTTGAAGAAATGGATAAAGGTCAAGTCACAAACAAATCCTTAGGGTTTGATGGATTAAACTATGATTCTTGGAAGACTAGAATGAAGTCCTTTCTCATGTCTCAATCCTATATGATGTCTGGCATGCCATTGTTATTAGTGTGGTTGTTCTCAATCCGGATAATCCTTCAACTGATAACAAAACAGCTTTATCAAATGATATATGGAAGAGCAAAACATGCTTTTTCTGTGCTCTCAAGCAATAAGAGTTCACAAGGATAAAAACTGTAAAAGAGCTAAAGAAATATGAGACTGTAACGACCCAAACTCGGGAGTCTGAATCGCTAACCGGGTCTTTACCTAACCCGGGAACACCCATGGGTAAAATGGTTATTTTGACCAAAGCAATGTATTAAGGGTCATCATAATGTCATAATAGTCATTACTAATCAAATTGGTTCACTTATGGTGAAAGAATCAACTCCGTCTTCAAATCGGTCCAGGGTAACCAGGCTAATTTGCTCTTTTTGGACTACGCAACACATTGGGACCTTACTAATATATATAAATTATATATATATATATATTAATTTATATAAATAATGCCTTTTACCATGACCATACTAATGTAACTGTTGCCAGAATTGATTTCAATATAGAGAACTTATTTAATCTCTAAATTTATATTTAATTATTAATTGAAAAAGTTCTCTTTTAGTGTTATTTATTTATTTATATTTCTTTCTAAAGTGTGGGTTTCATCTCCTTCAGACTTTTTCTTAGAAACGGATGCAAATCACAACCATAGTGAAGGAAAACAGAAGCATAGTAAAGCTTACGTGTAATACAAAATTAGAGGTGAAACTAAAATATTCATTACTTTGAGAAGATGGGTTTGATTGGGGATTTTCTCTCTTATTCTTTTATCTGTGAGAAAATAATCACCATGGAGAGTAAGAAGGTGAGTACAGCATCGGATCTATTTTTTTGATAATTTACTATTAACGTTGGGAAATTCTGTTTCAATTTTAAATTACATTTTCAAAAATACATAATTTATTGGTTTAAATTACATTTTGGCTTACTGCAGAGGATCCTAGTCCGGTGTAACTAACACAAAAATCTTTTTTTAGTGCTGGTGTAAAAAAGGCGAATGAGAGAGAAAGAAAGAAGGAAAAAAAGTATTTAATGATACAAATTTTTGGTCCTAATATTAAATTTCTATATTGGTTTTGGTTAGAATGTATGAAAAAATGTGAATGATGAGTTGAAAAAAAAAAAAAATTATATAAGGATGTAAATCTTTGGGCCCAATATTAATGGTATCATCGGCAGGAGAGAGAAAATAGAAAAAAGAAGTTTTAGAATATAAATACTTGAGGCTTAATATAAAATCGGAATGAGAGAGAAGAGAGAAATGAGAAATAATTAAGTTATAGTAGGATATAAATATTTGAGACCTAATATAAAATTGAGGGAGCTGGAGAGAAAAAAAGAAACAAAATAAGTTATTTTAGGATATAAATCTTTGAGGCCTAATATATATATTTTTTTTTTTTTTTTTTTTTGCATTTATTAGAGTTTAATAAAATTAGAAAATAATTACTACTATAGTATAACTTAATATAAGTAAAAAAAAAATTTATAATTTTGGCCCTTGTGTTTTTATATGAATTATTTCACCATATTTAAATTGTGGTCGGCAGAACTTTCACAGTAGATGTATCACATTTTGGTTCAGTTTTAATATAAATTAACTTTCCGCATATCAATACCCTAATAATTAGAAATTTTGTATAGGAATTATTAGTTATTTTAGCATAATTTCTTATTTTAGTTAGTCTTTTACATTAAGAATTATAAGACTTCTATTGCAAAAAATATATAAATTACTACCTATAAATTTTTATTATTTTTACACTATTAATTTGGCTCCCCCAAGTTAAAATTCCTGGGTGTGCCCCTTTATACACTAACGGCTTATTTATGTTTTGGTACCATAAAAAGTATTTGATACCTTGATCAAACCGGATAATCAATAAACAAGAGCTGTAAATTTGGAAGAAGATGACAAAAAATAAAAATATGAATTGAACGATGTTATAATTTTGAGATGCTGAGGCCAATCACATATCTCCAATAGTGAATCTTTATTAATCAATAAAGAATACACTTTGGTAAGAGTTCACAGCCACAACCATTCCGTCATTTGTTTCAAGCACATTAGTATCAAGAAGATTAAAAGAAGAAGAAGAATCAAGAAGATTAAGCTGGACCGAGTGCAGGATTTATTTTGCCGCAAGGAGTTGGCTTAAGGTTTGTGACTAGAGACTTGGCAGCGCCTCCTTTAAATGTCAGGTCAATGTTACCTATCTCCACTTCTTGGCATGGCAGAGTCTTGCTACAAACAAGCTTGATAGCAACGTCGGTTAAGGAGCTGCCACGAATGTTTTTGAAGCTGACTTTGCTGATCTTGACTTGAGATGGAGGCTGAAAATGTACGAACACCGAAAGTGATTAGCAAATTAATCATTCGAATGGTTAAATTTCTTTGTGAAAAAAGAAAGAAAACAACGTACGTATTAGCTAGCTAGGCAGTGCAGTTGAAGTAGTACGTACCTTTGGTGGGCATTTTAAATTTGCATCGCAGTACTCTTGATCAATGATGATGGGGTTATAGACTTCTTTCATGATCAGATCCTCGAAATGCATATCAGCTGCAACGCTAGGAGGGGATCCTGGCCATGTTTTAATTCTTACTCCATTGGTTGTGTTGCTGAAGGTGCAATCCTTAACTGTAATTCCCTGGATAGGTTGTTCATTTGGGTACTTGCCGAGACTCCCAATGCTGATGCCATGGCCAGGTCCACAGGCAATTTTTTCGATGTTAGTGCGTGAGACTCCATCGCCAAAGGATACGCAGTCATCCCCTGTTGCTATTTTTGAATCAAGGACTTTAATATCGTTTGAACGTGCAATGTGGAGTCCATCAGTGTTATGGCTATCTCCTGGTGCAATGATGTTAAGCTTTGCAAAAGTCATATTACTGCCTCCCAATACAGTAATATGGAACATTTTGGGGTCCTTGGTAGTTATGTCAGTGATCATAGAATTGTTTACGTAGTTGAACCTTAAATTCTGCATGTTATATATCCACAAATCACAAATACGTACAACACAGATACGACGCGTCATTTGTTAATTAACAGAAACTAAAATTCATGTTGGAAATTTAAGATGGAATTGCAAATATATATTTATATGAATCTGCATGCTTACAGCGGGACGTTTTGTGTTTTTAGTTTTCCAAGCATCGGCACCCATGCCATCGACGGATCCACCACCTGATAGGGTGAAACCATTAACTTTTTGGAAAACAATCCAGGCTTCGGTAGGGATTTGTGCGAGAGCTGGGGCCTTGAGGTTGCCTTTGAGTATAACCCCGATAGGAGCCTTGCAAGGACCTTCAAGGACCACCGGACCACACGGAAATAGCCCTGGTGGAATTGTGACTGTGCTTGGAGTTGGACATAAACATGCCTCTTTCCAAGCACTCATTAGAGCCTGAAATTAAATTGAAGCATACATTATTGATCCAGAAATGATTGATTGATTATTAATGCACGTACGTAAACAAAATTAAATTATTAAAGTTCTTTCTATCACCTGTTTGACATCGCAATTGGGTTTCGCACCATATTTTGTTACATCAAAATCCCCTCCTTCTGCAACATGTGCTAGAATTAGCAGAAGAGAAATGGCCTTGATACTTAATCTCAAACCCATCTTCTTCTTTTTCTTCTAGCAATGTGTTGGTTGAATTTGTTGACCAGAATGGATGTGTTGTGTTGAAAATCCAATCTTCTTTTGCACATATTTATAGTGTAAAATGGAAGCTCATCACCACTCAAACCCCCAACCAATTTTAGCTAATTCAAACTCTGAATTTGGTTGTAATGTTCTGTAATATTGTCCATTAATCAGGGTTTAATATGTTGGCTCAAATTCCTCCTACCTTAACCATTCCTTTTTATAAATATGTTTTTACTATTTTATTGATTCGAAGGTCAAATATATTTTTTCCCTCAATATTTAAGGGCCACATTCATTACTAAAGACATATCCGCCACATATCCACATTTCGCAATGGACAAAGTTTATGATTTCTTGCAATACCTAAACAAGATGCGTTGTCAATCATTTGATTCCGTTAAGCGAATGACATCGGATTCCTAACTATTTTTAAATATCTGCTAATCAGCAAAATGTAAGCCGGCTGGAGTCTTATTGACTTAGGCGATTGCCTAAGGCCGAAGACCCAAAATTTTAAAATTTTCTTATTTAACTTACTTATATTAAGTTATACTATAATTATTTTTTAATATTATTGTACTCTAATAAATAAATAAATAATAATTAAGGGACACATTCATTACTAAAGATATCTGCCACATTCCGCAATGGACAAAGTCTATGATGTCTTGTAACACCTAAACAAGATGTGTTGTCAATCATTTGATTCCTTCAAACGAACTACATCTGACTCCTAACTATTTTTAATTGTCTGCTAATCAACAAAATGACTGCTAATATTGTCTATATTTTGAAAGTTACCATGAATTTTTTACAGAAATAGCATCTGCTAGTTTAAAATATGCCTTACCTCATACTATTCATAAATTTCTAACCTAAGATTCCAAATTACTAAAAGGAGTGCTGAAAAAAATAAGTAAATAAATAATGTAAAAAATAAAATCATATTCCGGATACAAATATTAGGAGAAAAAAAATAGAAGAATTGGAAAATGGACTACTTAACAAAGATATAGCGACAATAATATAACGAGTGAGCAAAAGAGGGTTGATGGTATATTGTCTTTATTGATACGTAATAGTAAAATCTCTCTCTTCATGGACACGGTCCTAGTCATCTAGAGTAGTATGACCATATAAAAGATTGTATTGTGTGTAGATGTGTATGATTATTATCTCCACATATATATATGCTTGTATGATTGATGTGATGATGATCATGCTTCCGATGAATGAGGGTTTTAATCTCAACTGTTGCGAAACGTGCAAGTTTTAAAAAAAATTTGAGGGATTTTCATATATAGATCTTGATTCATCACATAGAGACAAGTTTTATACAAAAATAAAATATGATGTACCATTCAATTAATAAATTGAATACTTATATCAAATGTTTGAGTAAACCATTAAATCTTTTCTCTAAAGTGAATGTTCCCACTTATTGTAAATCCCTTAGCAAGATCCTTTCTCCTTCTTCTTAATCGTAATCTCTTTAGGAATTACCAGTATACTTCGATAAATGACCTTAGAGACAAGGCTTGTGGTAGCCTCATTTAGAAGAGAAAGCAAACCCTAAAAACTAGAAAGAGAAAATGTATTCCTTTTTCTTTCCAAAAATCTCTCCTAAAATATACATGGAGTACCCATGTATATATAGGCAAAATAAAGATAAGGAAATAAAATAATATATTCTTCTCAATCTCTAATTCACATATCTCAATTCTAATAGGACTCCAATATCAACTTGGGCTATGGGTGAGAATCCTTTGATTTTACTATTTTCTTGGCTACTATAAATTAATAATTGGTCTGGTCCATTAAACCATGGACCCAATTCAATTAATTTATAAATTAATTTTTACTCCACTAAAAGAAATTAATTGCACTCCAATTAAATAGTAAATAACATCTAATTTAATGTTATACTTTGACCCCTCTATGCATAATTATTTATCGAATTATAAAGTCATTAATCCAACAACATAATTAATATAATTATTTTATTACCTTTGATTATTTCCGGCTTGATCACAATAAAAGTTTGTTTGACAAAAATACTAATTTACTAAATAAATATATAGAAAACATTTTGTCTAAAACATACGAAGGCCTTCGAATTTAATTTGTGATCAACCATAATCAATACAAAATAAATACAAGTAGCACTGATGCAAATATTGAGAATATAACCCTTTAACTATTAATTACATAATTATCCAAAGTGCCGATCTATAGATCCCGAAGTATCCGTCGAACAAATCAAAGTAATTATTAATTAATAAAAGAATGTATACTTCTTTCATGCTTGAGAGTCAAATGCCATGACAGTATTAGGGAGCAATTGCATACGACGACTTTCACAATATATCTTAACCTAACGCGGATTCAGTTCAAGTCTTAGTTAATAATGAGTCCATCCATAATTACCGACTATGAACTATTTATGATTACTATTTATGTTCATGTATTGATCGTCATCACATACATATATAAATATCTCTTTTTAATCAAGTGGACACTATCAATTCCATAATGAATCAAAACATAATACATTGAATTTACCAATTATAGAAAGTATAAATATTTCAGACTTGTCAGGAACATATGTCACTTTAATCCAAATAGGAATCCGCTATGCTAGGGCATATAAATCCCAACAACTCCTACTTGCCCTCATAGCCAATTCTAATTGCATCTAACTTCAATGTTATCCAGGTGACGATTAAAACTATTGATTAATGACACATTTGTTAAAAGATCAACAAAATTGTGTTCCAATGCAATATTATAGCCACAAGTACATTTTCTTGTCGGACAATATCATGTAGGATATGATACTTCCTCTCAGTGTACTTTGTTCCTTTATGGAACCTTGGGTCATTGGTTTGAACTACTTCTGCACTATTGTCGCAATATAGCTCGATAGGCAGGCTAGTATGCTCCACAACCTCTAAATCAGTGAGATCAGACCAAAAGACTTCATTTGCTGCCTTTAAGGCTGCAGTGTACTCCACCCTCAGGTTTGAGTCAGCAGTTGAAATCTGCTTAGCAATCTACTAACTGATTTCCCTTCCATTGAGTGAACATACACTAAGTTATGGACCTTATAATATCTACATCTGATTTAAAATCAGAACTAGCATACCCGACTGGAACCACATCATTACATCTATAAATAAGTATGAGATTATTGGTTCTCCTAAGGTAATTTATGATATTTTTCATAACAGACTAGTTATCAAGTCCGGGATTGGACTGATATTTACTGACTATCCCTACATTGTAGTAGATGTCCTGTTTGGTATAGACCATGGCATAAATGACACTCCCACATGCTGAAGCATATTATATATTCCAATCTCATTTGCTTAACCTCCTCTGCTAATCTTGGAAAACTACTTACTAGAGAGAACAATCCATGTCAATAAAAACAAAAACTCATTCTTTGAGTTTTGGATACAAAGCCTGATCTAAACTTTATCAATGTAGGATTGTTAAGATAAGCCTATTTTCCTTTTAACCCGATGTTGCAAAAGCTTGATCCTAGGAATATATCTTACATCTTGAAAATCCTCCATTTCAAAGTAATTGAACAACTACCTCTTTAATGATGACAAAGCTTCCACATCATTCTAAATGAGTAGGATGTCATTAATATATATTTATACAGAATTAGAAAAATAATGACATTACACTGTACACACATGGTTTATTTACTAAGAAATCTTCTGATATCCTTTTGTAGATTAACTTGCCTTCCATAGGTATCACCCTACTAGAAAGTTCTATAAGATCCCAGATTTTATTAGAATACATAGATTCCAACTTTGATTTCATAGCAACTTGCTAAAATGATCTGTATCCATATAGGTTCACGCTTCCGTGTAGCTCACTGATAAGCGTTGAATATTGCATATTCAAGCACCCTTACTTGCATTAGTTAAGTCCATTTTTAGGTTATATGTATATATTTTCTCCAGTTCTTTTTTTCTGTGCATTTTTCAGGTTTGTCTGCGAAAAGGGAATAAAATGGAAGCTCAGAAGGCTTGTTAAAGAGCCAATCATTCTGGGCTTTTGCATCCAAAAATCTCCAAGAGGAATCTGCTAAAACAAGTCTACGAAGTCCTTCTACAATGAAAAAGGGGCAAATGATTCTCAATAAGCCAATACTAAATCTAAGTAAAAGATGTCCATAGCAAAAGGAGAAGAAAATGCACTCTGCTGCATTTTCGAGCGCTCAAAGCGCCATCATCGAGCGCTTGTGCGGCACAGATGACAAGCCCTCGTGTGCTTCTCCATGTCATTTGAGCGCTCGGAGAAGCTTCGAGCGCTCGAAATCAGAGCAGAATGCCCCAAGGAAGCTTCGAGCGCTCGTACTGCAAGCTTCGAGCGCTCGAAGGAACATTCCAGCCCACTTGCGCCTTGATTCCCTCAATTTCTGGCTTCCCTCTTTTATGGGGTGGTTGGAAATGTTCTTTGGGTGGATTTGGTAGACTTCTTGTCTACAAAAAGAAGGGGAGGAGGTTGAATAGACATATCATATATCATTTTGCAAGATTTTTGGAGAGAGAGAGGGGGAGAAGATAGAGTTTTGTGTGGCTAAAAAGGGAAGCTCGAAAATGGGAGTTGGATCCAAGCTTCTTCCTTCTTCTAGGGCATCCATGGGTAACTAACTCTTCCTCTAAGGAGGGGATGAAGCCCTCCCTTGTAAGCATGTTCTAGCTTAGTTCTATTTTGGGAATTACAATGTATAATCTATGGTCTTTTCATGATCAAGAGCATTTCATTTGTTGTAATGGATGTTGATGTATATGAATGATTGTTCTAAGTTAATTATTTTGTTCTAGATAATGTCTTACATTAATCATATTGCTTATGTTTTCATGGTGACAATGGAAATAAGGTTATGAAATGGTTTAATGGCATGTTGGTAGATATCTTTGATAGGCCATTGCTTAGGTAATCCCTTTGATGGTTTATACTTAATCTCTAGCTTCATGTGCTTCATCATTTTATC